GGAACCCCTCGTCCAGGTCGCTGGGGAGAGGTAAGGGGAGGGGTACACCCCTCCCCGAAGGGACAGAAATGGGTTGGCAGAGGAAACGCTCTAGACCACCTACGCCCTAAAGGGCTGGTGGGATTCATATGCAGCGTTGAACAATATATGCAGAGCAACTCACCTTGCCGACTTTGAAGTTGTCAACTCCACTGCTCGCGCAATCATCCCACCCACCCACCTGCAACCTAGAATGCAATACCCATGCAGCGGGGGTTGCGATGACTGCTTGGCGCTGGCTGGCGCCTGTCGCATCGCTGCTGCCGCGCCAGCGCGCGCAGGCTCGCGCGCAGAGCGGACAGCTAGCCTGGCGCATCCGACGCGGTTGCGGTGGCGTTGACCGTTGGGGGCTTCCCAGGGCGTCTCGCAGGCCGCGCGTGGGCACTTCCGTGCGAGTCGGAGACACGGGCGGGCGCGGTATCATGGCGACGTCGGCAAAGGCAGACACGATAATGATAGTAACGGTGCAGGTGGCGATGATGACGATGACGGTGGCAAAGCCAATGACGGCGTCGATGTTAATCACGCCGGTGGCGCCAATGGTGTCTACGTGTCGGTGCTGAAGGCTGTTGAAGAATTTCGACATGCGCTCGCGCGACCTACGCGCGCGAGTGGCCCGCATGGTATTATCAATCGTTACCGCTCATTCCGCCAGCCCGTACTGTGCCATCGAAGGCGTTTGCCTGGGCGTTCGTGGCTTCTTGGGGCCTTGGGGGGGCCGTTTGGGGGCCTTGTGGCATCATTTTGGGCCTCCAGGGGGCTTCGTGGGGCCTCCAGGGGGCTTCCAGGGCTCTCTTGAGGGCCTCTGGGGGCTTCTTGGGACGGAAGGCTCGAGTTGGTGGTTCGTGTTCCCCTTCTTGGGCCCATCTTGGGGTTGTCTTTGGCCGTCTTGTGCGCCTTTTGGGCCGTCTTGGGGCTCTCGGGGGCTCTCTTGGGACTATATTGGGAGCGTGTTGGGCCGTTTGGGGACGATGTTGAATGTCAGTGGAGCAGTTCTGGACGCTGTGAACGCCCAAGCGTCGCAGATGCGAAGAACGCACGTTTTCCGGAGGGAATGGAACGATTTTTGCTTGTTGGGGCCCTCTTGGAGAGCCTCTTGAGGCTGTCTTGGGTTTTTGTTCGCGGCTTCTGGGGCCATCTGGAGACCATCTTGAGCGTGTTGGAGCGATCTTTCTGCGACTCGGGGCCTGTTGGGCCGTGCGGGGGGCGCCCTGGCGCTCTCTTGGCGCGCTCCTGGGGTGCCGTGAGGGAATCGGCCGGGCATCGGCCGTGGCACTGTTCGCCCAGGGGTCCCCAGGGGCCGCCACGCGCGCGCGAACTAGAAATATCATTACCCTGTTGCCGGAGATCTTAGCACGCCTCTGGCCCGTTGGGCTGGCGATTTCGACATGCGCGCGCAACCGACGCGCGCGAGTGGCCCGCGTGGTAGTATTTGTCAGCGGTCTTGCCCCCGGTCTTGCCCCCCAACGCGCGCGCAAACGGCGTTCAAATGGTATCGGCATGTGCGCGCGGGAGGCCCGCTTGGCCACATGTGATGGAGATGTTGGAACACCGATGGTCTCCATCACGATTTGCCAATACGCGCGTGTATTTCTTTACACATCATGCTGCGACATCAGCTGTTTGAGCATGCTTTCGTAAGGCTCGATTTTGAACCCCCTGCGCAACCGAAGGGTGTTTGCATGTTTTCGGCGTGCGCTCACGACGACGCGCGCGAGTGCACATCGTGTTTTATTTGCAGCCTCTTCTTGTGAAACGAACATATTTGATGACCACGTGTGCGCGCATACGATTTCGCTGTAACGGGTAAGGTGAGGGGGATTATCCGCTTGGCTAGGGCGGTATGAGTTCATAGTTCGACTGAAAGAAAGGGCAGAATCGTATGCAAGTTGAGTAGCCACGGGTGTATCGGGGGGCCGTGAATCTTAATTCGCTTTTAGAAGGCAGTGTCTACATTTTGCTGCACATGCTTTGTGATTCACCCTGTCGGACCTGTACTTGTCAACTCCAGTGCACGCGCAATCATCCCAGCCACCCGCCCGCAACATGGTTTGCCAAACCCACGCGGCGGCGATTGCCATGCGTGCTTGGCGCTGGCTGGCGCATCGCCGCGGCCGCGCCAGCGCGCGCAGGCTCGCGCGCAGAGCGGACAGCTAGTTTGTCGCGACCGAGGCGGCCGCGGTGGCGCTGGCCGCTGGGTTTGGCCCAGCGCGTGTCGCAGGCCGCGCTGGCGCGTGGGTACTTCAGTGCGAGTCGGTCACACGGGCGGGCGCGGGATTATGATGATAGCAGCAATGTTGGCGACGACGATGACGATGACGACGGCCAGGTCATTGACGGCGGCCGATGCGGATCATGCCGATGGCGATAATGGTGTCCACGCGTCGGTGATGAATGTTTGGGAACGGTTTCGACATGCGCGCATGGCCGACGCGCGCGGGTGGCTTGCATGGTATTAATTCAAAAGGGGTCGTGCCCCCCCCCACACTTTTCACGCTCGCAAAGGCGTTCGAATGATTCCGACACGTTCGCGCGAGAAGCCCGCGTTGCCGCATTTGATGGGTATGTTGGGGCAACGATGGTTCCCAGAACGGTTCACACATGCGCGTGCGTAAATTTGATTGAGCCCATGTTGCGAAACCATGATTTTTAGCACGTTCCCGGGACGTTTGATTTTCAGGTTTCTACGTCACAAGCGTTTTTTTTGTTTGTTCTCCCCTTCCGATTTCGGCATGCGGTCGCGACGGCGCGCGCGTTTGCACTTAGTTGTGTGTGTGTGTTTGCGTGTTTGTGTTTGATTCGTGGTAAGTTTGTGTGCGCGCATCGCGCCTTTTGCAACATACGAAAAGGGGGGCGATGCGGGTTAGGTTGGGGTGGCACCGGCGAAAAAACCGAATGAACGGCGCGGTAGATTCGCGTGTGAATCTGCACATCTCCTGTGGGGGCGGATATTCACGGCTTCGGGCGGACGGTATATATGAGTTCCATGTAAGAGAAAATAATATACGTTGTGCAATTTCGGTGGCGACGGGGCTGCGACGGCGACAACATAGACGCTGGACCTGCGGTCAGGTCCACACGACGGGCGGCGACGAAACGGCTAAGGGGCGGCGATAGCAACAACATACCCGCCAGACTGGCAATCACGCCCCGGTCATCAGAACAGCTGTGAGGTCCCCAAAGTGCAAGAGATGTCAATGACAGGCCGCCGTTGGGAGCCCGACATCGTGTTATCCTAGACGCTTCGCGTAACCCCACCAGGGAAGGAGGAGGAACAGGCGGATGAGCAAGAGAAGAAGGACGAGAAGGAGGAGGAGGAGGAGGTAGAGGAGGAGGAAGAGGGGGAGGAAGCGGAGGAAGTCGATTAGAAAGGCCATAGGCCTTTTGGATGCCTCTCGAGTCACTTCTGATTTCTTTCGAGAGTTTCTCCAAGTCCTTATGCGGCGTCTTGTGGGTCTCTTGGCAATCCCAGGGGCCTGAGGCGTCTTGGGCATCTTGGGGGCTTCCTCGGGGCCCCTTGGGGCTTCTGGTCACCTCTTGGGGCTGTCTTTGGGCACTCTTCGGAGCCTTGGGGGCCATCTTCGGGCAACGAAGCTCCCAAATTCAGTGTCCCCCCCCTCAGGAGACCCAAGTGTGGCCAACACCTGGGTAAAATCAATGATTCTGGCTTCTTTGTCGAGGCCATCTTGGACTCTCCAGCGCCTCGCGAAACGTCCCCTCCATGTCCAGGGGGAGGGGGCCACGGGGAGGGGTAAACCCCTTCCTGAAGGTGAAGGGGAAGAAGGAGGTTGGAAGAGGGAACCCACTAAGCCTCTCACGCCCTCAAGGGCTGGTGGGATTCCGCCGCTTCTGTCCGCAGGCCTGGTCTTCCCTCCACGCTGATGGGTTTCCCACGGCGGCGTACCATTGAGACCGGCTCAGCCCCACACTCATGGCATACATCCGACGTCCCGAGGATGCGCTGAGAGGGGCGGGGGGGGGGCCCAAGGCTGGGCTGTGGAGCGGCCCGGGCCCAGCTTGAGGCCGGCATTTCCCGCCAGAGGCCGCCCACAAGCACCACCTCTGGCCCCACCCCACCCTCTGCGTACGTCCTCAGGCCCAGCTTGAGGCTTGCAATTCCCTCCAGAGGCCGTCCAGAGCAATTTTCCACAGGCCCCATCTCTTGGCCCCACCCCACCCTTGTCGTCCCCCCGCACGTTGTGCCAGCGTTTTTCCTCGGTCTCGGCCTCCAAGCGCCCGTTCCGGGCCGCGGTTGAGGATCGAAAAGCGATGTGGGGTGCAGCCAGTCCCCAAAGAGGGGCCGGGAGGTCGTTGCGCTGCGCGTTGAGCCGATCACGGCGTCGGAGTTTCGGGCCACGGGGTTTCCAGAGGACTCCCCAGGGTCTGTAAGGGCATCTCAGGGGCCTCTCCCTTCAATTCCATCGGCTCCCCTCTTCTTTCTCCCAAGGCAGTGCCAGACAGTGTCACCATCATCATCGCCATCATCATCTTCATCATCATCATCATCATCATCATCATCATCATCATAATCATTCTCATTATCATCATCATCATCATCATCATCATCATCATCATCATCATCATCATCATCATCATTATCATTATCAGTATCATCATCATCATCATCATCATCACCATCATCATCATCATCGTCGTCATTTTACTGCGCTCCCTCCCCCCTGAGGCAGCGCGATTAATTTTGATTGCTGCAATCATCATTGTGTTCGTCGTCATACGTAACAGCATCAGTATTGAGATCAGTAGGAGATACATCGTCATCGATCCGCAGTCGAACTGGATTCGATACGGCGAGGTGTGCGTAGGTGCATCGGCACAGGTAGGCCCAACCCTTCCTAGCGGCCTCTTCGCAGCATGCCAGCCCCCCTGCCCTTTCTTCTTCTTTCCTCCTGCTCCTCCTGCCTGTCCCTCCTTCCTCGGCGGGCTGCCGTTTCCGCGACCAGATCTTGCTGGAGTTCAGCGACGAGAGCCTGTCGAGGCAGCGGGGGCCTGGCGGACCCAGCAGCCCGCCGACGTGTGAAACGCTCGGCCAGTACATTCTCGTCGTTTCCCTCGTCCTCCTCTTCTTCCTCTCCACATCTTCCTCTCTCTCTCTCTCTCGTCCGCCTTCTCTTCGATGTTGTGCTGTCTTTCGTTCCCCTCTCGCGTACCTCGTCGTCGCCTTTCTCCTCCTGCTCCTCATTATGTTTGTTCTTCGTCGTCGTCTTCCTCCTGGCCCTCCTCCTCGCTTCCCGCCACTCCTCCGGTCGTTTCCTCCCTGTCCTCCCCATCCTCGTCTCCCTCTCGCTTCTGCTCCCTCCGCTTCAGCAGCCACCGCTGCTCCTCTTGCATTTCATCCCGCCTCCTCGTCCTTTCCCGTCTTCCTCTGGTCGTCGTCTTTCCCCTTGTCTGCCTCCTCTTCTTTCCTTCCTCCCCGCCGTTTCCTCGTTCTCGTCGCTCGTCGTCGTCGTCGTCGTCCTCTCTCTCTCTATCCCTCTCCTCCTCGGGCCCTGAGGCTGAAGGGGTACCCCTGTCCCCTCCACCTCCCCTCCTTTCACTGCCCCCTCCTTCTCCCTCCCCCCTCTGCCTCCTTCTCAGCCCCATAGCAATCGCATCGTTCTGCTCCATAGTGATCCCGTCCTCGAGAGGTGCACCCATGGGCTGTGAACCAGTCCTCGGGGGTTCAGGCACCCGAGAGCAATGTCCTCCCCCTTCGCTTCGCCCTCCGCCTCCCCCCCCCCTCGGGCCCGCCACTCTGCCTCGGCGGAGAGTCGCGTGCGGCGCGCCCGGGATGGGAGCCCCTGCTGGGAGGGAAGGCGCGGGGCGCGGGAGGGAACGGGGAAGGAGGATGCCAGCGAGGGACGAGGAAGGATAACGAGGAAGAGGGACCTGGACATCCCGTCGCGTGAAAACGCACGGCGGAAGGATTCTTACTGCTATTTTCGGCCTCTTGCGGCCTCCCGCCGAGCCCCAGGACTGCAGAAAACGAGTCAAGACGAACAGGGGGGCATGGGGAATGGGTCGAGGCCTCCGGGGGCCTTCGTTCCGACACTCGCGCTCCCAAGCATGCCGTTCCATAAACGGTGCCTGCGCTTGCTGGGTTCTAGACATATTTTTCGAAGAGCTGGGCTGGTACTTCGCTCCAGCCGGCTTGTGGCCGCCCGTCGCCCGCCCCGTTGCCGCTCGACGCCGCCCGTCGTCGCCGCCCGTCGCCGCCGCTGAGCTGGTCTGCTGGCCCAGCCGGCTTGCGGCCGCCCCGTCACCGCCCTGCAGCCGCTCGTCTCAGCCCGTCACCGCCCCCCCAGTCGCCTCGTCGTCGTCGTTTTCGTCGTCGTCGACATCGGCGTCGTTGTCGTCGTCGAAGTCGTCGGAGACGTCGTCGGTGTCGTCGTAGTCGTTGTCGTCGGTGTCGTCGTAGTCGGTCTCAAGAGGTTTTGCAAACCAAGTTGCGGGTGGGTGGGTGGGATGTTTGCGCGAGCAGTGGAGATGCCGACTTCAAGTTCAGCAGAGTGGATTGCACCACATAGATTGCGCCGTATAGGCTCTCGATTCTTTGCAAATGCGCGCTACCACCCACCTGGAGGTATTGCCCCTTGGAATACTGCCAATGACACGCGTTTCGCCCTCATCGTTCACTTGGCGTATGGGTCCATGCCATACTTGGGGATTCCCCTTTCGCCCCCGCCATCCTTTTAGAAATATTGTTTTGCGCGCTCGGTTTTCCAGCGGAATCGATGTCAAACAACCATTTGCAAACAATGCGACAAAGTCCACACTCGCGCGCGTCGTCGCACGCGCATGTCGAAATTAGTCAAATGATTTTTTCGTACGGGTTCAAGACCAACGTTTTCGATCGAACGTTTTAATTTTGGAAGCGCCATTGGTTGAAACAGCATTCTGTTCAGCAAAATATGCCCGCGCGGCGCGCTCTTGTGGACAGATTATATTTGTTTTCAGCGTTTCTTTCACACGAGACCACGCGGGCCTTTTGCGCGCGCGAATGTCGAAGTCATTCGAACGCCCTTGCACGCCTGCTGGGGGGGGTGCACGATCCCTGTCAAAAAATACTGCTCGGGTCACGCGCGCGTCGGCCGCGTGCTCATGCTTTTATCCTTCCACAACTTTCACCCGCGACACATGGCTGTCGTCATCTTCGTCGACGTTGCCAGCTTCGACGCCGTCATTGGCCTTGCCGTAGGCATCGTTTTCATCGACACCGCCATCGCTTTCTTGTAGACGCCATCACAAAGCCGGTTTCGTCCGAGCCACCGACCCGCGTTGAAGTGCCCTCGCGCCAGCGCGGCCTTCGTCGCGCGCTGGGAAGCTCCCGCCGGCAAACGCTATGGCAGCCGCATCGGCTGCGCCAGTGCAGCTGGCCGCTCGTTGCGCGAGCTTGCGGGCGCCACCGCGGCCGCAGAGATGTGCAGGCCATGGCCGAGTAGTCAGCGCAATCACCGCCGCATGGGTTTTGCGAACCCAGTTGCGCGTGGGAAGGTGGAGTGCGGACGCGGGCAGTGACGCTGACAACTCCAAGTTCTGCAAGGTGGATTGCACCACAAAGCACGTACAACATTGATAGCGCCACATAGGTTACACCACATAGGGAATGCACCATGTTAGCCAGCGTGGACCGCATTCGGTGGGTTCTCATACAACGCGGTGCAAACCACGCGGTGCAATTTATGCGGTGCGCGCTACGTTTTGCAACCTACGTGGTGCAATAGATGTGGTGTAAAATATGTGATGTACGTCACGTGGTGCAGTCTATGCCATAAGCTATTTGCCACTGTATTCGGTGCACCATGTGTGCCGCAATCTTTGTGGTGCAGGCTGCGCTGTACATTGGATATGGTGCAAGTTGAGTGGTGGAATCTACGTTGTGCAATCTATGTGGTGCAGTGATTTTTGTTCGCAGTGAGTTGCCACCTGCATTGCTTGCGCAAGCATTTCGCCCACCCACCCGTAATCTGGTTCGCAAAACCCACGCGGCGACGATTGCGGTGACTGCTTGGCGCAGTATGGTGCGTCGGTGCGGACGCGCTAGCGCGCGCGCGTTCGCGCGCAGAGCGGCCAGCTAGTCTGGCGCGACCGACGCGGCTGCAGTGGCGCGGTGGCCGCCAGGGATTTCCGAACGCGTCTCGCACGCCGCGCTGAGACGCGGGCACTTCCGCGCGCGTCTGTGGCCCGGGCGGGCGCGGTATTGCGGCGACGTCGACAACATCAGGCACGATGGCGATAGTAGGGATGATGGTGTCGACGATGGCAATGGCGACGGCAAGGCCAATGACGGCGCCGATGCTGGTCATGCCGATGGCGATGGCGATGGCGCCCACGCGTCGGCGATGAAGGTTAGGGAAAGATTTGGACGCGCCGTCGCGGCAGACGGGCGCGAGTGGCCCGCGTCGCATTATTTTTCCCTACCTAGGCTCTGCCTAGAAGGGTTCTTACTCGGTAAGCTTAAAGGGCCGGGCAGTGGGGCCCGCCCCGGGCGGTTCCCCCAGTATCCGCCCCGCGGTCCCCCCAGTGACGTTCCCTTAGCTTCGCGTTGCTTATCTCATCTTAGGTTAGCTTTTTTCATATTACCATAGCTTAGCTTCATCTTACCTCAGTTTTATCTTAGCTTAGCTGACCTTCATCTTAGCTTCGCTGAGCTTTCCCATAGCAGAGCACAGCATAGCATAGCATAGCGCAGCATCGCATATCATAGCATGGGTGTAATCTTAGCTTAGCTTACCTTCATCTTAGCTTCGCTGAGCTTTAGCATAGCAGAGCACAGCAGAGCATAGCATAGCGTAGCATAGCATAGCGCAGCACAGCACATCATATCATGGCCCAGCATAGCATAGCATAGCACATCATATCATGGCCCAGCATAGCATAGCATAGCATAGCATAGCATAGCACAGCACAGCTTAGCACAGCGCAGCATAACATAACATAGCTGAGCAGAGCATAGCATAGCACAGCAGCAACGCAAAGGCAAAGCAACAGCAGCGACAGCAAAGCAAAGCACAAGCAACGCACAGCAAATCACATCGCTGAACATCACATTATCATAGCATAGCATAGCAGAACATAGCCAACCATAGCATAGCATATCATAGCATAGCGCAGCATAGCATAGCATAGCATAGCGTAACATAGCACAGGGCAGCTCAGCATATCATATCATATCATAGCATACCATAGCTTAGCATAACACAGCGCAACATGACATAGCATTGCTTATCATAGCGTAGCGCAGCATAGCATGGCATAGCATAGCATAGCATAGCATAGCAACTAATGCTGCTTTCCTAGGGGCTCCAACTTCTAGGTAGTGTCGCACTGGGGGAATATAGGGATCCCCCCCCGCAGCATGCGCGCAATAGCATTCGACTGATTTCGACATGTGCGCGCGAGCGCGAGCGGCGCTTAGGGTCGAACCCGATGAAAGTGGTGAAGACTGGTCTTCGTGCAAATTCGCAGGAGCTCGCGCGCCGAGTGTTTTGCAGGGCAATGTTTTCTGTTTTCGGCGCGCCCGATCTTGCAATTATTGCGAGTCTTTAGGTGCTTGATTCCGGCATGCGCGTGCAACGACGCGCGCGCGTGAATTTCGTTTTATGTTGGAAGTTTGTTCTGTAACGTCTCGCGATTTGTGAACAACGAGTGCGCGCGTACGTTCGGACTTGCAATGTGTGTGTGTGTGTGTGTACGTGCGTGTGCGTGTGCGTTTGTGCGTGCGCGTGTGGGTGTGCGCGCGTGCGTGTGCGTGTGCGCGTGTGTGTGTGTAACCGCATGCCGATGATAATAAAGGGACCCCCCCCCTTCAGTGTTTAGAGTTGATTATCGTCGCCCTATACAAAATTCAAATTGGGCGGCGAGCGCTGAGGCCGAACTTCATTATCACCTCGAAACGCTATGTTGAGATAGCAACATCAAGCGATGTTGATATAGCAACATCAAGCGAAGCGATCACACTTTTTCAGGATGTGTCAAGCGAAACCAATAATTTTGGGA